TTATTATTATTATTATTATTATTATTATTATTTAGTGAAAGAACAACATTCAGATTAGCATAAGAAAGAACTTACTAAAATTAATTAGAAGGGAACAATTTGACGTAAATTGTGTTTTTGCACCACCAGTTGTTGGGAAAGGTTGAAAAAATGGTTTCCTTAGTAAGATAATATTTCTGTTTCTTGCAGGCCTTGACCTTAACACTTCTGAAGGAGAAACTCAGGGTGCATCTGCACTATAAAAATAATGCAGTTTGGCACCACTTTGACTGCCATGGCTCCATCCTCCTACAGAATCCTGGGATTTGTAGTTTTGTGCAACATTATTAAAGAAGGTCAAGGAAGAAAGTGCAAAGGCAGGCTTGTGGCTGAACATAAAGAAAACAAAAATAGTGACCATGGAGGATCTACATGCATTCAACCTAGGCAATGAGGAAATCAAAAAAGTAATCGTTCCTATACCTTGGATCAAACATTGATGAGAACAGAGACTGCAGTCAAGAGAGAAGAAGACTAGGAATGGGAAGGGCAGTTATGAAAGAACTAGACAAAATCCTAAACAGTAAAGATATACAACTGAGCACTAAAGTTAGACTCATCCAAGCCACTGTATTCCCGATCACTGTGTAAGGATTTGAGAGCTGGACAGTGAAGAAAGTGGATAAGAAGAAAATCAACTCATTTGAAATGTGGTGCATGAGAAGAGTGCTGAGGGTGGAAGGTCTGGAAACCATGCCCTACAAAGGGAGACTTCAGGGAGCTGGGGATGTTTAGTCTGGAGAAGAGAAGGTTAAGAGGAAATATGATAGCTCTGTTTAAACGTTTGAAGGGGTGTCATATTGAGGATGGAGCAAGCTTGTTTTCTGCTGCTCCAGGGAAGAGGATTTGGAGCAATGGATTCAAACTACAGGAAAAGAGATTCCACCTCAACATTAGGAAGAACTTCCTGACAGTAAGGGCTATTTGACAGTGGAAGACACTCCCCCAATGTCTGATGGAGTCTCCTTCTTTAGAGGTCATTAAACAGAGGCTGGATGGCCATCAGTTGTGGGTGCGTTGATTGAGAGTTCCTGCATGGCAGAAAAGGGTTGGACTGAGTGGCCCTTGAAGTCTCTTCCAACTCTGTGATTCTATTATTCTACCATGGATGGCCAAGAAGACAAAAAATTGGGTTCTAGAATAGATCAAACCTGATCTTTCCCTGGAAGCCAAGATGACCAAACTGTGGCTGTTGTACTTCAGACACATCATGAGAAGAGAGGACTCTTTGGAAAAAACAATAATGCTGGGGAAGGTGGAGGGAAGTAGGAAGAAAGGAAGGCCACATGCCAGATGGATGGACTCTATGGAGGAGGTCACTTTGGGTATTAAGGGGCTGCAGGAACTAACCAGGGGTAGGCAACCTTTCCCCTTTAAGGGCCGAGGGACTTCAGCTCCCAGAATCCCAGGAGCTATTGGCCAACATGGGACTATTGGCCAACATGGCTGAGGCTTTTGGGAGCTGAAGTCCCTCGGCCCTTAAAGGGGAAAGGTTGCCTACCCCTGAACTAAGCAGAGCAATGGAGGACAGAGGGTCTTGGAGATGTCTCATCTAGAGGGTGATCATGAGTCAGGACCAATTTGTTTCTGAATACTGTAACTTCCAAAGGTTTAATAGAGTAAGGTTGTTAGTATGCTTTGTTATTAGCAAAATAATCTGGGGTCAGGGGAGAGACTTTAGATTCCACGTCTAAATTTGCAAATGTCCTTTGTTTTATGAACATTACCACCACTGCATATCTTCCAGCATTTCACAGAGGAAAACCAGGACATATATGAACAGGTAACATCAGAGCATGGTCAGAATGGCAAAAGTTATGAATGAGAACACACAAGCTTGGGCTGCATCTATACTGCACAATTAATGCAGTTTGACACTGCTTTACTGTCATGGCTCCAATGCTATGGAATTCTGGGATCTGTAGGTTTTTAAAGCTATTTAGCCTTCTCTCTAGGAGAGAGATCTGGTGCCACAATAAACTACAAACCCTATAATTCCATAGAATGAAGCCACGACAGTTAAAGTGGTATCAAACTGCATTAATTCTGCAATGTAGCAGCAGCCTGGGAAGACTGCAGCAGTTTGCTTTTGACTGTGCCTGCTGGGAAGGACCCCTCCTCTTCTCCCGCTTATAGAACAAAGGACATTGAATTATTAGTGTGCAAACTACTTTTGCATTTTGAACTCCTTTTGCCACTACTGAAGCAAGCAGAAGACAAAGGTGGAAAGTGGGAGAAGGATGGAGAAACTGGGACCTTTTAAAAGCATTTGAAAAGTGAGATGACAGGGGACATTTAATAGACCTGTGTGTACTGGCTTTGAGACAGGAGTGCTTCTGAGGACAAAATTTTAAATAGACTGAGCATTGCAACCTGACATGTATTTGCAGGTGGCTATGGCTGAAACTGCCCCTGCGTCTGCTCCGCCACTTGCTCCCCCCGCCAGTGCTGCAGAAAACAGCTTGGTGATCTCCCTCTCATATTTCCTTTAAACACACACACATGTACACCAGGAGACTGAGGATAAACCCTGGACTAAAGTGCAGGATTATTGTAAAACAGTCTTATGCTTAACGCTTCAATGGTAACAATGGTCTCCATTACACTGTTACCATGTGCCACTGTTTCTCAACCAGTGCCCCTATTCCTACCTAATATGCAATGTGAGAGCAATTTCATTGTTTTCACCCTTTCTAATAAGAAAAAAAAATGTCAAAATAAGCAGAAGGGCTAACCTCCAGATGTGTTACAGATTCTAACATCTGCTTTATTCTTTCTCATTTAGAAAATACTTTTGTTTCAATGTATTTGTGTTATTATAAAAACTTCTAGCACAGCCCAATACTTGGCTACTGAGATGTCTATCCCTTTCCAAGTTTACACACCAATGGAGTTAGTTGAAAGCATGATTTCCATGAAGTTGTTGGATTGCAGCTCCCAGCATTCCTCACCACTGGCTCTGCCACATAAGTCTGATGGAAGCCACACATTTGGAGTGTGGCACTGTGTCCATCCCTGCTATATACTCAAATGTAGAAGTAGGTTCCATTTAAAGAATAGAGAGGCCACTTTGCTAGGTGCATGAAAACCTAACTTAGGAGTTTATCACACGGGGGAAATCCTGTGCAGAAACGGGGTTTTAAATTGAAAAAAACCTGCAAATGCGGGCAGATTTTCAGACGACGTCGCTGTTAAAATGGGGTTAACCCGAACGGAAAGTAATCAGAAACTGCTTCTTTTTACTTTCGGAAAATCCCGTAGTAAAAAGAAAGCAGTTTTTGACTACTTTCCGTTCGGGTTAACCCCATTTTAACAGCAATGTGTGTGAAAATCTGCCCGCTTTTGCGGGTTTCCCCCACTTTTTAAATCCCGTTTCTATACAGGATTTCCTCCGTGTGATAAACTCCATATGCCGTTATGTGTTCAGCTGTCTTAAAAGGGGCATGGTTGTTTTTTTACTGCAACTGGTTAACACATTGCCATTCTAGAATCAGCTAATGTTGATAATTAGCATTTATATAATATTTGTTCGGAATTTGTTCAGATGTATAATGGATGTGAGCTATTATACAAATGCTAATACATTATTCCAGTGGTGCTGTACAGCCTTGTAATTTGCAACACCATTCAAGGTAATTAATTAAATTTATGCCATGACTTTCTGCCACAAAAGGCACTCAAACATGTTCATATTCTCCAACTCTCCCAATTTGGCAGGAAGTATCCTGATTAATTCTCTGTCATCCCCCTTGTCAGTTGCTTTTTAAATGTCCTAATTTTTCTCTCCTGCTCCCACTTTCCCTCTTTGTCCTCAGCTTACTTCAGTTGCTGCAAACTGAGTTCAAAGTGCAGAAGCAGACTGTTGTTGCTAATGCCTTCAAGTTATTTCTGACTTATGGTGACCTTAAGGCAAACCTGTCACAGCGTTTTCTTGCCTAGAAGAAAATCTGTATAATGTATGTGAGGTATTACACATACGTTAATTATCAACATTAGTAGATTCCAGAAGGATGCTGACAAGCTGGAGCTTGTCCAGAAGAGGGCAACCAAAAATAGTGAAAGATCTGGAAGCCATGCCTAATCAGGAGCAGCTTAGGGAGCTGGGTAAGTTTAGCCTGGAGAAGAGAAGCTTAAGAGGTGACATGATAGCCATGTTTAAATAAACTTTAACTGCCCTGACTCATGGGAACTACAGTTTATTGTGGTACCAGAGCTCTCTGACAGAGAAGGCTCAATGTCTCAGAAAAAAATGTAATTCCCATTATTCCCTAGCACTGAGCCAGGGCAGTTAAAGTGGACTCAATATGCACTATTTCTAGCAGTCTGCAAAGGCCCATAGTCTTGAACTTCCCTGTAGGTTTGAGCAAAAGGAAAAGCAGACAGCCTCTCCTAGCTTCCTCATTTATAATGCTTGCCATCTTGACCACATTCTGATGTTGCTTGGCCACATGTGTGGCAGTTTCACCTGTGAAATGTTGGAAGGTGTGCATGTTTATTTAGAAAACCTTCTAAGCTCAGTGAGGCTTGTTCCCAGGTATGTAAGCACAGGGTTGCAGTCAATATCATGCTCACATTACATGTGGGATGGCAATGGATCCTGAGAGATACAGGACCATAAAACAACCTTAGATCATTTGTAAGGAAAAGGAGCTGTCAGGCTCTGATTTAAAGCACTGTGCATAAATATGCAAAATACCGCCTTCCTGATGGCTTAAGCTACAGTTCCCATCATCCCCAGACAGAACTGGTGGTGAATGTTGAGGGGGGGAGCCCAACATATCTGGAGGACATCAAAGGTTGAGGAAGCCTAGTGTTCGCTGCTTTCATGCCATTTCTGACTTATGGCAACCCTAAGGTGAACATATCATGGGGTTTTCTTGGCAAAATATATTAGAGGGGGATTGCCGTTGTCTCCCTCTGAGGCTGAGAGAATGTGACTGGGGTCACCCAGTGAGTTTCTGTGGCTGAGCAGGGATTTGAACCCTGGTCTCCAGAGTCGTCATCCAATGCTCAAACCACTACACCACACCGGCTCTCTAGTGTACATTTATAATCTTGTAATAATAGATCAGTGGCTGTCAGTCACCTCTCCCTTACTTGGCTTTGTGACAGAGTCTCTTCCTCGAACCCTGAATTCCTACCTCTTCCAAAGCCTCCTGTGACCCATTTTCCTGTCCCTGCTACTCATTTCTAGGCCTGCAACCTCGGAGCGGATGTTGCAACAGGAAAGGGCCAAGGAAACACACCGAACACTCATGCAGGAGACATGCAGGTGGATGGCACAGGTGTGGCAGGGCAATGTGTACCTGAGCGGGCAAGTAAATACTAGAGTGACGCCAGGCTGCTGTGGTGCGTCACTTCTTGATCCTGCTTGGCATTCCCGGACCGACACCCCGGGAGGAGGGCATTTACGGGAAACTCTCCTCTTGTGAGCATTCTGCCGGGAAGTGTTCTGAGTCCCACCCAGGGAGTGGCACGCTTGCGAACAGCAGGTGAGAAGCGAGGCAAGAGACACGAAGGAAGGGCTTCCCTCTAGATTTCAATGAATCGTATGCCCAAGACTCAATGCCTTCTGGGGATGGAAAACCTGTGGCTTTCCAGGTGTTGTTGGAGTGCACCTCCCAGCAGACGTGCTGGGATAAGGAATGATGGGAGCTGCTGTCCAGGAATATCTGAAAGCTGCCCATTCCTGTTCCAGCATCTAGAAGGAATTGAGTTTAGTGTCAACATTTTTTTTTATGTGAATGGGATATGAAGACAGGATAAAATTGCAAATGTCAAAGCACTAAAGACACCTCTAATGGAAATGGAGAACAAGTGGAACAAGCCTTATCCAAAATTTACTTCATTCATTCATTCATTCATTCATTCATTCATTCATTCATAAATACACACTCACTCACTTTGCACATGCTAGATCCCTAGTAACAATCTATAAGTAATATATTAGCATAGATTATAAGTGATGTTTAACTGTATCCTTTGAGCACATGCAGAGTATATTTTGCACCAGTGAGAGAGAATGATAGGCAGATACATCTCCTAGCAATCGTCATAAACCTAAGAGGTTTAAGGGACTTATGTGATCAGGTGGACTACCAGTTGAGACTCAGGTTGCTACTACATTGCAGAAATAATGCAGTTTGACACCACTAACGGTCATGGCTCCATCCTTATGGAATGCTGGGCTTTGTAGTTTATTGTGGCACCTGAGCACTCGAAGAGATAAAGCAAAATATCTCACAAAACTAAAAATCCCAGAATTCCACAGCATTGAGCCATGGCAGTTAAAGAGGTGTCAAACTGCATTAGTTCTGTGGTGTAGATGCAGCCTGAGACCTTTACTACTACAGAATTATAGCACTTTAATTGCCATTCTGTAACTGATGGAATTCTGGGGTTTGTAGTTTGGTGAGGGATTGGTTATTTTACTCTCTGCTGAACTGCAGTTCTCAGGATTCCACAGGATGAAACCAAGAGAATTAAAGTGGGATAACAGGACCAAAACACACTGCAGAAATAATCTAGTTTGAGACCACTTTAACTGCCTTAGCTCAATGATAGGGAATTCTGGGAACTGGCGTTTTGTGAGACATATATAGTCTTCTCTGTCAGAGAGCTCTAGTGCCACAATAAACTACAATTCCTAGGATTCCCTAGCACTGAGCCAAGGGGTCTCAAAGTGAATGATTTCTGCAGTGTGTTTTGGACCATACTGCTATAATTATGTGGTGAAAGGGGGAAGACTGGAGAGAAGCTCTTACTTACAGTATATATGTCTACTCCAAAGTAGGTCCTACTGATTCCATTGCTCTCAGGTAAGTGGGTAAACGATTGCAGCTACATAATACCTGAACTTCAAACAGACAGAGGAAGACTGGGATGTCTTTCTCCTGGGGTCTTTAACCTGAAGATTGAACTTACACGGCTTTTCCATTTCGAAACAACAAGAAAAACTAAGGTACCTTGCAATGAACGTATAACATACATTGCAGAATCAGCACCATTCACACTTCAGGTTAGAAAACCAATGCCAGCTAAAATGCCAGCACTTTGAGGCCTGACAGAAATAAAAAACAAAAAATGCAACAGTGTGAATCTCAATGAGTTTAGGTTCCTAAAAGAAAGGCTAGTTTATCTAATGCTACAAAGCAACAAATCCAGTTTTGTCGCCAAGAATGTACCAAACAGGGAATTTTAACATATCAGCTTTCTGATATGTGCAACTGCCTAAATTTAAATGTAGCAAACAACTTAAAGATGAACGTCTTCCTTTGTTGTTGTTATTGTGTGCCTTTGAGCCATTTCCCACTTATGGTGACCCTAAGGCAAACTTATTATGGGGTTTTCTTGGCATGTTTCTTCAGAGGGGGTTTGCCATTTCCATCCTCTGAGGCTGAGAGAGTGTGACTTGCCCAGGGTCGCCCAGTGGGCTTCCATGGCCAATCAAGGATTCGAACCCTGGTCTCCAGAATCATATGCAACAGTCAAACCACTACAGTACACTGCCTCCATCTTCCTAGTGTTGTTTATTTTCAATCATCAACCCTGCGTAAATAGGAAACAGAAATCCTTTGGTTTAAAACCAGGGTGGGCAAAGTGCATCACTCCAGATACTGTTGAACTGCACCTCCCAGCATTCCTTACCACTGGCTATACTGGCTAGGGCTGATGGGAGTTGCAGTTTAACAACATCTGGAATAACACTTTGACCACTTCTTATTTAAAGCATCATCTGGTAAAGTATGCCCCTCCAGTTATTTTTGGGCAGCCACTCTCATGATCCCACATCAGTTGTTAGGCTGGCTGTGGGTGATGGAAATTGCAGTTTTGCAATGGCTGAAGCACCATGAACTGCTTGCTAGATTAAAAGGAGTGTTAGGATGCTTAACTGATGTATGTCTGTATAGATAAGCATGGAGATTGGAAAGTATGGCACTTAGGCATAACATCTGCATCCTTCAAGCAACCAACATGTTCTACAGATATCTATGAGAGAGAGCCAGCATGGATTGAGTGTTGGACTATGACTCTGGAGACTAGGGTTTGATTCACCGCTCAGCCATGAAATCCACTGGGTGAACTTAGCAAGTCACACACTCTCAGCCTTAGAGGAAGGTAAAGGCAAACCCGCTCTGAACAATTTTGCCAAGAAACCCCTGTGATACGTTTGCTTTAGAGTCACTGTAAGTCACAAACAATGTGAAGGCACACAACAACAATAACAATAAAGATATGTATATGTATGTGCCTTCAAGTCACCTGTCTCCTTAGGGCAACCTCATGAATTTTCATCGGCTTGCCTTAGGCAAGGAATACTTAAGAAGTGGTTCTGGCAGTTCCTTCCTCTGAAATATAGCCTACAACCTCTGACTCACTTACAATTTAAGTATTTCAATCTCAGTGATTTTATTTTATTTTTGTAGACAAATGCAGGAATGCTGATGGTCAGGGCCCTATGAGGTCAGTGGCCAGGTAACTTCACAGAGACTCTCTGCATTCATTTGGGTTCTAGAAAGGAAGATTGCTTTTTTTTTCTTCAGCACTGTGTCACTGAGCAGAATGTACAACTTTTAAGATGTTGTTATTGTTGTTGTTGTGTGCCTTCAAGTCATTTCCAGCTTACGATGATCCGAAGCTGAACCCATCACAAAGTTTTCTTGGCAAATTTGTTCAGAGGGGGTTTGCCGTTTCCTTCCTCTGAGGCTGAGAGAGTGTGACCTACCCAAGGTAACCTAGTGCGTTTCCATGGCTGAGCAGTGGCAATCCAATGCTCAAACTACTACACAAGGGTGGCTCATCATGATGCTAGCAGTCAATTCTCCCTCCCCCTACTTTTTATCTACCATCCCACCCCAAGGCCCCAAATACTCAACAGTCTATCTATCATCATTCAATATACAAGGCCTCAGAGAGATATTTAGGAGAAATTCCTCCTTGGGGAAGGCAGGAGGAAAAATGTTGCCTAAGGCCAGGATGGGTGGATAATCATATGAATGATGGAGGGAGTTTGGGAATGTGGTTCCCAGGCTGCACACACCACATTCCCAAACTCCCTCCACCATTCATATGATCATCCACCCATCCTGGCCTCAAGCAACATCTTTCTTCCTGCATTTGTCAGGCAAGGACCATAGTTAAAACTGAACTTGTCACCTCATCAACCTATCCACAAATTTTGCATTTCTATGGCTATTAATTCAGACCTTCTTGGTCTTCAATTCACTCCATGCATCTGAGGAAGTAAGTCTACAAAAACTGATGCTACAAGTTTTGTCACACAGTTAGTCTCAAAGGTGCTACAAGATCCCTTCACATATTTTAATTTCATTTTTATTAAAGGTATGGTGCTGCAACCAGACACCAAAAGTCAACATCTTCCCAATGTTGATGCTGCTAAAAAAAACACCAACAACCCCATCTACAAGGAGGAAAAAGGATGCTGGGTGGTATAAAAAGACTAGCTGAATCTGCACTTAGAAATAATGCATTTTGACAGTGCTTGAATTGTCATGGCTCAGTGCAATGGAATACTAGGATTTGTAGTTTTGTGATATACGAGTTAACCTCTGTCAAAGTTCTCTGGTGCCACAACAAACTACAAATCCCAGGATTCCATAGTATTGAGCCATGACAGTCAAAGCAGTGTCAAACTGCATTATTTCTAAAGTACAGATTCAGCCTTTGCAAAAATGTCCTTTGTTAGAGGCTTTGTGAACTAGGCAAGCCTGTATAAAATGGCTTGTGTTAATAATAGTGGCAGTCCCTATGAGCAAAGAGAAAGTTGGGAGAGAATTGCAGGGGGAATAGATGGGGGACGTTGGAGCTGCTGGTATCAGTAGAAAGGGACAAGTCAGCAACATGTGCATAGGGACTAGAAAGTAGGTTTACTGCTAACATGACATAGAAGTCTAGGTCTTTAAATCAAGGCTTGTGAGATCTAGTTTGTTCATTTTACTAGAACACTGAAGACCATACAGTTGAAGCCAGGTGCAAAACTGTAGCTCAGGTAGGCATCTGCACACTAAGATTT